TCTTTGATTTGAGACTCTAAGTTCGATGTCCCCACTTCACTGACTTTGTTATGTATGTCTCTCTTCATGTCTTGGCGCGAGCCAAGGTGTCGTGAATTAACATCTATGGTGTTGAAAAGTTGTCTTGTTTGTTGTGGAGTTTTGCTAATGACATCACCACCACTTAAGGCATCAACTAGTCTTCTTTCCATTGGCAACAATCCCTCATAAAAGTGTTGAATGAGGAGTTGTTCCGGAATTTGATTTTGTGGAAAACTATAGTATAAGTTGTTGAACCGCTCCCAATAATCATGAAAAGTCTCATTTTAACCTTGGCATATTCCACAAATCACATTTCTAAGACTTGAGACTCTTGAAGCGGAGTAGAACTTGTCAAGAAAAGCTCTTGCCATGTCAGTCCATGAGTTGATTGACCCTAGGGGAAGATAGAATAACTAATCCTTTGCTCTATTGGCCAATGAAAAGGGAAATGCCCTTAGGTTGATTTGGTCATCGGTTGACCCTTGTGGCATCATACTAGTTCAAATGATAAGGAACATCTTCAGATGCTTATGGTTCATTTTCCAATTCATGAAAAGTTGGAAGGTGATGAACTAAACTTGACTTCAATTCTGAAAATCCTTCCAAAACGGGATAATTGATACCAGTTAGAGTTTGTTTAACATCTGTTTCCATCATTTGCCTCAAGGTTCTTTTGGGAGATTCTCCTTTGTCCCCCATTGAAATTGGTTTAATTATGGGTGGATTTTATTGTAGGGGTAGTGTTTTGGGAATTTCTTGGCGAAGGTCGGGGCTAGAATCGGGTTCCGTATCACTAGAAGAAACGATTTCAACCACTGGGTCCCTGCGAGGATTTGAAGTTTGACCACATTCTATTCTCTTTTCCTTCACCAAACGCCTTGCTTCTTTTTCAATTTTCAGATTATAAATCAAAGCACCTGTACGTTGAGATTTGGGCATAGAGAAACAAATTGATTAAAAATAAACGAATCCCCGGCAACGACGCCAAAATTTGGTGGTTGTCGAGGCCAACAAAATAAATACCCTAAATATTACACACTAAAATAATGTATAGTCGTAAAGAGATCGTATCCACGGAGATTGGTTCAATTTTATAACTCTATTAATAATCACTTTGTAAAAATACTTGTAAAATGACAATAAATTAAAAATGGGAGTTTTGGTCTTTTTGAAATACATAAATTAAAACTAGAATTAAACTAAAAATTAAATGGACAGTTCAACAAAAAATAAATGGTTAACTTAAAGTTTCCTCACTTTGACCTTTGAAGAACATATCATTAGAATCCAAGGGTGCAATACTTGTTTTAAATCCTTAATATGGCTATGGTAACCCAAAAAGCTTGAGATTACCTAGATTTTTTTTAATTATTAAAATAGTTAGAGAAGCTCATAACAATTACCTTAGTCAAAGTCACGATTTCCATTAAGCATGTAATTAATGAAAATCAACTAGCATTAAGAACCAAAAAGTCACCAAATCCAAGAGGAGTCAAGTGATTTCACTTCCATGTTAGAGAAAATGTTTTTATGATTGTGTGAAGCAAAACTAACACAAAAATCATTTGTTGCTTTCTAATTTGAGGATAATTTTCTTAATAAAGAAATAAACCAACTAATTACCATAAACACATTTAAACTCGTGAATAAAAACATACAAGTAGTGATAAGATGTTAAAACACAAAACATTCTCATAAAGATTCAAGAACAAGTTCATATAGAGTCTTCAACATTCAACAAGATTCAAAGGATTTCACCAAAGTCAACCAAGGTTTGTTTAGCAAAGCATGGCTAAACTCAAAGAAACAAAGTTAGACAAGATTATACAAAACATTCAACAAGATTAAGGGGTGAAAAGATGAGGTTCTTCAAGGCTCTTAGTCTTCAATTTGCTCCAAAATCTTCAGAGAATCCTTTAAATTCCGGATGTGCAAGAGTTTGCAAAATATACACACCAACCTTCCCCATATAGCCTTCTAACTGAAATTGTGAAACTGCCCCAGCTGTGTCGTGCGCAGCCACACATCCTTGCGCGAGTGGGTTGCGCGGATGGTATCAAATAGTGGGCTCTTTCATTGTTCAGCCTCCACAACTTAGTCCACTTGGCCCAGTTCGAGTCCAAACAGCTTCTAGCCCATTTTTCTTTAAGTTCACTTCATTTTGAGCCCAATTTGGCATCTCCAAATGATCCATAGCTTCCATATTCGCCCAATCATCAATCTCCGCACGCACGAATATTCTCCCACATCTTGCAATTTTAAATTTTATTTCTTCCAAGCATTCAATTAATAAGAAAGCCTACTCCTAGCATCAACTCCATTATCACCAAGCCTAAAATTCTTGTTTTCCTCCAAGTCCAATTGCTTCCGAAAGATCCCGCTCCACTAGTCTACTTAAAATCTGCAATTACGCTCACGAAACTAGAAAGTACCCGAAATAGTCATAAATAACAAAAAAGAAAATATGCATGAAAATTAACTAAATTATCAATGAAATATGCTAAAATAAACTATAAAAAGAAGTTAATAAAATGAAATTATCACTTACACTCGGTGATGGGAAGTGATGAAATCGACAATTTGAGTTTGTGAAGATATTGAACATGATGGAGACTAATGGTGCATTTCAAGCTAGGATTTATGTGACCTAGATTGGGATTTAAATAGAAATTATTCCATATTTTTTGGGATTTACCATATCTAATAAATTTTATTTTTGTTTTATAAAAATGATTATATATAGAAGTACAAAATTATGTTTTTGAAATAATTGGCCCACAATTATTCATACATGCATACAATATTTAGTTAGAATGCTTCAACTTATCTCCCCCTCTCTCTCTTATATATATATATATATATATATATATATATATATATATATATATATATATAATGGATCATGTTGGTTTTTCATGTTCTCGGTTGTATAATTGTTCTGGTTTCAACTTAATCTAAAAATGGAGAGTAAAAATAAAAAAACTACATAAGAAAATCTCAAAAAAAATCTTGAAGTTTTTGTCTTTAATACAGATAGTGGGAAGGGGTGTTTATCCTCTCAAGTTTTGGTCTTTAATACAAACAACATTTCTTAGCATTAAGCTCGAACAACTTTTATTCTTTAGTTGCCAAAATTATATATATAATCCTATAATTCTCACTTTAAAAACATTCAAACATGTAGATAGTGAGACTGGAACTCGGGTTTCCCCACGCACAAAACATGTTTTTATCATAAAAACCCCTAAATTTACACAAAATATTTGATTATATTCTAAGTTGATGTTTTGGTGCGTTAATGTCTCAAATACCGGAAAATTTGTTCATTTTTTCCCCTGACCGGTTTTTACCTTCAAGAGTGGGTTACCCAAGCTAAGTGGCATTGACTGGGCCCATTCATGCTGATGTGGAGCTTAGGTTGCTGCCATGTCAACTGTTGAATCCTTTAACTAAAAAAATATGAAATTTGGAAGAGGAAATGGGGGTAAAGGATTTAAACACACGTCTTCTCTACATATTCTAAACGCCTTATAAAAAAGTTGCCCATATCTTGTTATTTTGCTACGCAATTAAATATATCATTGATAGAATTGGTTTATTGGAAAACAAAACAAAGTTTACAAGAACTTCCAACCCATGTGTATCTACCACCTTGCTGAAAAATTATAAACAAATTATATATATCATTGCAACCCAACAAAAACCGCACTTTGAGGCATTTATATCAAAATAGTGACTTGGATATAACCGATTATTTTATATAAAATTAAAGGCTTTTATGACAAAACCCTCACTTTTAATGATTTATTTCTTTCTATTTATGTCTAATTGTTTATTTTCTGAACATTATTACTATTATTATTATTATTATTATTATTATTATTATTATTAAAAATACATTTTTAAATATATTTTTCAAATATATTTCTAAATACGTTTTTATATATGTTTTCAAAAACATATATTCAATATATAAAAACGTAATTTTTTCAAAAAATATTTTTTTACAACTTATTTATATTTACTTTCTATTCAATAATAATAATAAAAAAAAACTATAATAATAGTAACTAAAAAAACTATAATAATAATAACTAAGGAAGGATCCATGTTTTTGAATGGATCAGAAGGGGTTTTGTTTTTTATTTCAATAGATAAACATAATGCAGTTATATGTGAAACTGGTTGTAGAATGACAATTTGGATATATCACAATCTTCAAATGTTATAGGAATTTTTAATTTGTCTTTCCTTGATGTCATATTTGGAACAATTCTACAAAGCACTCTCCAATGTACATACCAAGTAATACCACACTAAGTATAGAAGCACACTAAAATATATGATTTTTCATGAAAGAAGGCATAAAGATGCAACAACTTTTTAGTTTGAAAAATGTATCAAAGTATAATAAAATTATCCAAATTCGAAATAATGTAATGATGTAGGTCAGACAAATAGAAAAAGACATTGCATTTATTTAAGATTAACCAAAATCATGTTAGTTCTATAATTGGGTAGATTTTTCAAAGTATAATATGCAAATAATAAAAGTCTAAAACTGCAATTATGTAACTGAGGTGAACGCACATGTTGTTAAAAAAAAAATTCCAAAGTGCATGAATTCTTTAACTCAATTTACAATAAGAACGCATTTGATTATGGCTACGGTGACTGTAATTCAATTTAATTCCCATTACATTAACCAAAACAAATCAGAAATTACATCTCAGTGGTATGCATCTCCTTATTCCACATCACTAATCAAAGCTAAGCCTACAAAATCAAAACAATAATTGGATTCTTGAACTCATGTTTAGAAGTCTGTAAATTGGGCTAAGTAATCCGAAAACCAAATGCAAATAGGAAAAGGGCATCAAAATCAAATAATAAAAAGGAATCTGAAGCAAAGAGTCAAAAGGGATCAGACTTTTCATTAATGCTTGATGTAGATGTAGGATATGATGAAGAACGTTGTTCTATGATTCCACCATTTCTGAATCACGTGTCAAGGCTGCATCTTCTTCTATGTTAGCATCTTTTGTTGCTCTAGGAAGATTTGAGATAGCTTCTTTGATCCTTCCACAAGCTTTTGAAAAATAAAGAAATACAACCATGAAACATTAAAAAACATAAAGTTTTGATCAAGAATTGAAAAAGAGCATACCATAAAATGATCATCAATGAAGATATCATTTGCCATAACCTATCTTATAATTTGACTATGTATTTCATTATCACAAAAAACCTCATGCTATTCAATTTGTTTTAAAAGACCCAAACTTTCCTAACATAATTATAAAAAGTTCACAAGAAGACTACAAATTTAGTCCATAAATTTACCTTGGAAGTCTAGAGTAGTAGCTTTAAGGGTTCAGTACATATTTGTAGCCGTGTGTTGCGATCAAACACATCTATATAAAATTTGAAACCCAAAATTACTATGTTTGATAGTCATGATATATTTGTAATTGTATAATCAACAAGCCAGAAAACCATAAACTGCTCATTACATCACAAATTAGTATAATACTTGTGGTAATTGGCATCAATGATAGAGACGACTCTCTAAATTAGTATACTACTTGAAGAAGATTTTAAAAGAAAATGTTAGTAGTAAGGATAAAGAAGCAAAATCAAAACTGCAATTGCTTTATTGCCAACATCGTGATGAGGAGTAATCTGATTGAAAGTTTTGAAGGTATTATTGTCAGATACAAACCACTTTTCCAACCAACTATTTGGATGCTGATGCGTGGAAGTTGGAAGTTTTGAAGGTATTATTGTCAGATTAGCATAAACCCTAAAAATAATCATAACTAAGTATTCTAAAAGCGTCATAAAAATGGTCATCTACATCTTTTATGAAAGGCTATTAGCATATCCATAAACACCGTATTAACTTAACATACATTTAAAAAAAATCAAAATTTGGAAGTTTTACAAATTACCATGTTACAATGTTTCATGCTTTGGTAACTCCATGGAAAACACCAAGCCACTTAATTTGACAGTTAACTCGTGAAGTCGTGATGATAAGTGGCAATTTACACAAAACTTGACTTGGTTTTAGTGAAGCGAGCCTGATTGATGGTATAATAATATATCAAATGATTTACATGGAAATTTGAACGCAAAGGAAAGGGCATGGTATTACCGATTAACCAAGCTTAATATAAATTCCTCAGTTTTTGAAACATATGTCTTCAAGTTTAAGTGGGGACCAAGTGAGCTGGATATGTGAAGCATGCAACATTTAAAATTAATGTCATTTCCCTTCTAGCATAGAAGGTGTCTAAAAAAAATACAAACCATCTCGTTAAATCAGCAAGCCAAAAAAATCTTCTCCAAATTGATTTAAACTTGCATGCTTACAAGTTTGTATGTTATAATATGAAATTACATGAAAATCATGAGAAGTCGAACATGTAATAACAAACTTGTGAAAATGTATCAACATTACTTTGTAGGAAAAGGTTCATTTTTTTCTGTAGCAGAATGAGGCATAAAACATAGCATTCCCAAATGAAATTCCTTTGGATTTAATCTTTTATAAAAGCTCACAACAATGCAACATAGAATGGACCTAAAAACAATTAATAGATTATGTAAAAATGAAATTAAAGCTACTGGTAATTTTCATTATAGCTAATCCACAATAGGCGGGTTTTGATTGTGTCTGAAAGTAATATAAGCTTGAATAAGCCTACCATGCTTCTACCTCGAGTAGCTTCCATCCATGAATAATTGGTGAGAATTAAAAGCACATAGATAATTATGTTGTAAGCAATAGATAACTTTGAAGCCAGTTTCATTACCGATTTATTTTTCTGACGAATTGTAGTTCCTAATGCTAGTATAATATCATCTAATGATTCATGATATTCATAATAAAATATACTACACACATGCTTTGTTAAAGTACCAAATAGATGTTTGGATGATCTTATGATGTGAAAGTACCTTTACTAAAGGGTGTTGTGATGTGTCAGTGGTTGTACAATCAAGGAAAGCATCAACAAAGCAATCATCGAGCATGTATGTCTCCATATATTTAGAAAACCAATATCATTATATTACTGATTGACATAGTGAAGTAAAATAGAAAGAACCTAAATAAACCCTAACAAATAGAGAAAACCATTGACAAAGAACTGACATTTCATGGACCCAATAAGTCCTAAGAACACGGAAACCAATAGCACATAGAACAACATTTGAATCATCAATGGCTTCTGAAACTTCTCGGAGGGCTTCCAAAGCTTCTATTACATCCTCTTTCACCTAAATTTTGAAAAAAAATTATGTTTGTTTTGGCTCGTTCAGCATATATATAATTTGATGTTTATTAAACACTTACGATTTGAAGATCTTGATTGAGATTAGGAAAGAGTGTTTTAGCTTTCTGGGCATCATCCCCACCAGAATCAGGTGAATTAAGATTACCTTTACAAAATTTTTAATGGAATTTCGATCCTATCGAATCTATCGAATAAATTGAAAGGCGAATGGGAGGCAGTAAAACCCTAATGGATGAGAGAGCGACTACAGAAAAAAAATGAAATAGTAGAAGAGCAATCGCAAAGAGGTCTTCTTTAGGTTTTCTAGTGGCCTTGGATGCAAATATCTTCTTCTTTCCGCTCACACTGAATTCTATTATGTCTGTAGTTTCATTTTTTTCCATCTGAAAACACCAATCACACATTAATTACCAAAAAATTTCGATATTCAAAGAACTTTCAATTCTGGATTGAAGCAAAGCAAAATTCAACAACCACGGAACAATAATTGAAAACCTAAATCAATATAGCAATGATTTACGCGAGAAAGAGACAGACCAATTCCATCTTTGAAAATCTTGTTGATCTGAACAATGGAGAAACACACCTGCATGGAAGTTAGGAAGGGGATTTCATCTTGAGGTTGAGGAGGAAACCGATTATAGAGATTAGACATCAGGGAGAGGAGTTCATGCGTTGTTTTGGTGGAAGGGAAAATATGATATTTTGAAATTATAAATATAATATTTAGAAATTAAATTGGGTAAAAATGATATTTTGATATTTAAAAATGATATATAAAATTCTCTTTATTAATATGTTGAGGCAAAATATTAGGACAAAAGCCATTATTAAAATATTTGTGGCGAAAATGATATTACTAAAAGTCAAAGGAGGTAAACTGCCAATGTTCAAAACTTCGGTGGCTAAAGTCATAAGCAGCAAAACTTCAATGTTCGTAAGGTACCGTTTGGCAGAAGAACTCGATGGAACTGAAGTGGACATTACTGGACTAAAAAGTACTAGACTGGACATGACAAATAATCCGTATAGCATTTGGTAAGACCATATAGAACAGAACAAGTTGTCTGAAACTGTTTGCTAACAATAGAATTGAACATAACAAGATGTAAAAATGACTATACTACCATTTTGTAAAATATATATATATATATATATATATATATATATATATATATATATATATATATATATATATATATATATAAACTCTATCTAACATACATAACATCAAAATAGACTTTACTAAAAAATATTTATTTAAAATTCTCATAAAAACAAGTTCTAATACTAAATAATCAAAATTGTTTCAAAATTCTCAAAGTTATAAACCAAAATGGTTTCCAAAATACTTAATTTTAAATAAAAAACAAAAACAAACTTCAGTTATCATCTTCCACTATAGCCTTCGCAAAAAGTGGTTTGGTAGCTGCGTCTAAACTATTCCACATCGGTAAAAAATTCAGGTTTTTTGTAAACTTCAAACAAACTCGCATGATTTCTGAAGAAGACAACTCCATGGTCTTCAACTTTTCATGTATGATTTTTAACTCTATGAGGTCATTAGTAGAGGACGTAATAACCCTAGTCATTTTTTGGATTTCCTCAGATACAAATACAGTAGCTAACCCCATTTGAATTACATGTGTTACTTCTTCAAATGTCACTTTTCTTTTTTTATTTCACGCCGAGTATTTAGGATTTGGATTGGAGGAAGTTGCGTTGTTTTGAGGATTAGAATTAGATAGGGATGAGCAAATGGACCGGGGAACCGGTCGGAACCGGAACCCGATTGAACCGGTCGGGCCGGGACCGGGACGTTATTTTTGTGGATTTTTGGAACCGGGAACCAGTAGGAACCGGAACCGATATAACCGGAACCGGTAGAACCGGCAAAAACCGGAACCGTATAATGCTACTTTTTAAGGACCGGTTCCAACATTTGAAGACACGACAAGAATCGGTAGGAACCGGGAACCGGTAGAACCGGAACCGATAGAACCGCCGGGCCGGTTCGGTTCTTGATTTTGGCCGAAGCCGGTTCCCGGTTCCGGTCCGGTTCGGGTCGGTTCCAACCGGTTCGGTCCTTTTGCTCATCCTTAGAATTAGATGATGAAAAACTTTCTCCTTCTTTGTTATCAATATTTTGATTTTCTATCACATCAGCCGCCGACTCATCCATACCCCCTGTAGTTCGATCTTTACCAAAATCATTTGCTAGTCGCTCGTCTGCAGGGAATGGTTTGTTCGCGATATAGTTTTTGTTTGGATGTTTCTAGTAAAACAAACAAAGTTACAATTAAAACCATATATTTAATACTTTTATATATATCTCTATTCTAATAAAAGAATAGTTTTATTCTCCTTTTGACATGTGTCACCTTATTAAGCTTCCTAATTAATGCATATTTTATTCCCCTTAATGCATATTTTATTCCCCCTTTGCCATGTGTCATCCTATTCCTCCTAATTAATGCATGCCACTTGTCAACATATTAATTCTCTATTTCAAATTTCAAAATTTAAAATTTTCACCCTAATTAAATTAAATTAATAAAACAGAAAAAAAATTAATACAAATTATAAAATGATATATTTCACATATTTATTTAAATCAATGGTTATAATTTTATATAACTAGAAAGTCTCTTATATAATAAAATATTTAAAATAATTCATTAAGAATTTTAAGTTTTTACTATAAAAGTTTGAGAAATTTTGTAACCGTGGTTTCCACGGGTTATAAACTAGTATATATATATATATATATATATATATATATATATATATATATATATATATATATACACGCTAGCCGTTCACCCGCGCAAAGCGGCGGCGGCAAATAGCTGCATTCAGAAAATAATTTTTTTCGGCGATCATATAAATGATGCAAATAACAAACTGATAAAATGAAACTAATTCACTAAAAATGGACTTACATTACACAATGGCATAAGAGGAACATGAGAAGTAACTTTCTTTTTGGCCTTACGCATTATATTTCCATTTACATATTTTAAACTATATTAGCAACTATAGTTAAGATCGATAACTTTTATTTATGATACAACACATAACCATAGTACAAGAAAACAGGACATTAATTATGATATGAAGAACTATAGCAAAGATCAATAACTTTTATTAGTTTAATCGCTAAAATTACTTTGTATTCAAAAGAAAAACATCCATGAATATAGAAACAATAGTTATATCTTTGTCGCCATCATATCTATCTTTAAAATTTTCTTCATTTTTCTCTTTCGAAAAAAATCTTCATTTTTGGCATTAACTCACCTAATGTAGTCTCTATCTGCATAAACATAAAGAATAAACCAAGAACTAACTAACAGACCGTCAGAGATTAGCGGACCAAGGGTGGATGTGGGGATCAAAGTTCGGGTGCAGGGACATGGATTGCAATCCCCTTTAAATAGGAGTTTACAATCTTGTAACCTGTCTCAATGAATGCATAACATGTTTGTATTTCATTCACCAGACACAAACAAATCAATATTTATGAATAATAACAAAACAAAAATCATAAAAATGAGTTATACCTTGAACTCTAAAGCCATCTAGTCAACTTTCCTCTTGCAAAACATGCTTCCAAAATATACATTCAACTTTTAACCCATTTAGTCAACTTCTTCTATTTGTTCCTTATCTTAATCACCCTACCAAATGTTACACAAAATCAATAGAAGTGAATAATCCTACGATTTACATCTAAAAAAATGACCAAAATGAGAAGTAATGAAAAACACAAAAATGGCTCGCTATTGATCGAGATTTGAATGACACAGTAAGGTTACCTCCTGTTTCGTTTCACTATCTTCAAAACACCAATCAAATAATTGCAAAGTTTGTTGTAGGTGGGAATTCAAGAATTATAATGTTTGTTGTTTACGGAAAATGAAACATGAAGAAATCGTATTATTCATGGGAAACTCAATAAAAATGTTACTGTTGATCAAGATTTGGGTGATAGAGAGGTCGTGACTCTCATTAAGACAAAAATATTGCAACAATACCAGTCGCAAAATAGGACTCATTTTCTAGGAGCATCTCAATTAGTGATAGTGGCAGTTTAAGGTGGTGATTTTAGGGTTTGTTGAGAGATAAATGTGCAGTTTTTTTTTTGAAGATGTTGCGAACTCTTGCTATTAAAAACCCTCTTATTGTTGGATTTATAGAAAATCGAGTATACGTACAAGAGGTGCATAAAGGATGTGGGTTTATAGGAAATCAATTGGAATGGAGAGAAGATTCTGGTTTTTCTAGAGAAATAATAGATACATGTTGGAGTGTTGGTTTAAACTTCAAATTAAGCGAATTAACTGGGAATTCAAATGATAGTGGACTGTGTCAAAAAAGCATGTGACATAAGGGTATCTATGCATTCAATGATTATACCTAAAGCTTGTAATTTGAACGATTTATAAGGGGAGGAACAACGTACGAGGCTTTAGTCAACAATATGTTACTGAGTATTAAAGAGATTGGGTCATACCAAAAAGACAAGATCTCATTTAAAATTTAATATTATTTTATTATTAATCGGTGACACTTTGAGCTTAACCATCTGAACGTCTTAAAAAAATATTATTATATTCAATCTATTTTTAGAAATAGTGAGATTTCTTTTATAAGATAGTATATATATATATATATATATATATATATATATATATATATATATATATATATATATATATATAATTACTAACGTTTAGATATTCCTCTAATATCTTAAGAGAATCAACTACTACACATTTGCGAGCATCATCCCAACCAAACCCACTTGTATTTTGCATATCATATGAAACAGAAAATTTATCCTTTCAACGTTTGATTTTGTTTTGGACATACTTTGCTATTATATTAATACCCACGACTTCTTCCCGCAACTTTAGAACGACTTGATCATAGGTTCCTGTCCTAAAGCTTCCATTATCACATCTACCGTTGATAACAACAATGTCTTGAAGGATGGTAATCAACACATTCTCTTCTTCTTGAGTCCTTTGATGCCTATCTGTCATGATTTGTTGTTTGCTTTTGACATATTATACATAACAAAGGTAAATATAAAAAAAATATAAATACTAAAATGATTCGTCCAATTAGTTAAAATTAATTAAAAAAACATACACAAAATTCAAAGTAGTTGACGTCCATAATAATTACAAACAAACTTAAAAATAAAAGTTCTAACATTCAAAAACAATCTACTAGGATCTGTTGGACATCCAAGAATCAAACATTTCTCCGGCTAAATCATCCCTCCATTGAGTCTATTCGCTACTTGATTCAACAACATCCACAATTTGAAATTGATTTGGTTGCTCTTCCCCGATAGGCATATGTTCGACATCGGTAGGCGTGTTTTCCTCCGGATCAAGAGTCATGTGTGTCCTAATAAAATTATGTAGCAAAGCACATGCCATGACTATTCTCCCTTAAATTCTAATCGGATAAAATGAAGGACTTCTTAATATAGCCCAACGTCTCTTTAGTAGACCAAAACACCTTTCAATAACATTCCTCGCTTGTAAGTGTTTCATGTTAAAGTATTCTTCCTTGTTTGTAGGTGCATGTGTACTACTTTCTTATTCCCGTAAATGATGCCTAGTACCTCTTTATGGTGGCAAAAAAACCTTCACCATTGATATATCATCCATCAGCCAAATAATAGTTACCTATAATAAATAAAATAATAGGTAT